GACCTTTAAAGTGTCCTGATCCCATCCTGTCACTCTCTACTATAGCCATTTACTAAACAAATGCTCCCAAAAAGAAAGAAAAGTTAAAAGACACTGGTGACATCGTGTTCAGTTCGATGCTCTGGACAAATTATGGTTTGAATCCAGCCCAGATCCCATTCCCTCTGTCTTTCCATTATAACTACCTGTCAAGCTCTAGGACAGCTGTAGAATAGAAATGAGGCACAAGCCCCAAAATAAAAAAAAAGAAAACAGAGCGAGTGGATTTTAATGGCATTTTCGAGTGGGAAATCTTCCCTCCTACACTCAATTAAACTCAACAGATAATGCCATTACACAGCAATCCATCTCAAACACACACGCGCGAGCAAATATATGATGCTGAAGAGTGTGCTAATGCATTAGGTACAGAGATAAACAAGGTGTTAGCGGGACAGCAGGAGGAATGGAATTAGTTACATCTACTTAGAGCGAGCCGAAGAGAGACACAGAAAGAGAGACAGCAGAAGTAATTAGATTTATGAGGGATGTTAATGAGATTAGTTTAACCCCACTTTACAAACCCTCAGCAATCAGAAACACAGCACCACAGTCACAAATGCTTCACATTGTTTCTGTCCTGGTAAAACTGACCATCATCTGACAATCTTCATTAACGTCAGCGCTGCCATACTGATGCAACAGTGTGCAACCACACACACACACCACACACACACACACTCCACGGTATACGCTCTGCGACACGCCAAATCTCCAGGTAGTGTTTGAGGAAGAACAGAGGACCTTTGCTCATTAGAAGCCAGAACATCCCTCATCGGCTTTGAACAATAATCGCTTTCATTAAATGACCGTGTGTGTGAGTGTGTGTGTTTACTTGGCTACACTTTGGGTTCAAATTTGTCCACAACTAAATCTGACAATGTTTCTTAGGGAGTAAATCTCGAGAGTAAAATTAATGCATGCATATGATATATCGGTAGAGATTTTTTATTTTATTTACTTGTATTATGTACTTGTATTACGGTAAATGTTTTAGCCGGGAAAAATAAATAAATAAATAATGTTACCAAAATTTCGGTGCATTACTACTTTTGCATTTAGATTTAATTCTAACACACAAGTTTAATCTTTAAATACTTTAAAAACACAAATAATTTAATGAAATAATACCTTTAGAAAATCTCAAAATGAATATCTAATTTTTCATTCTGTACATTATAATGTTATGATGCCCAAAGGTATGAATAAAATATATATTTTTTTGTTATATTTTTGTATTTTATTTATCATTTATTGGTTTAACAGCATAACGTGAAAATAATTATGACACAAAACTTCAACGTCATCTCCAGCAGACAGAGCTGTTATTGTGTTGTACTATTAAAATAGTTTTCATTAACTGAAATAAAATTAAATATAAATATAGAATAAGTTTAAAGTTAAAATACTAAAATTACTAAAACTAACACTGAAATAAAAATAAAGATAAATATAAATATTGAAAGAAAATGAATAAAAATGACAAAAGCGCATAACTGAAATTACTAAAACCAAAACTAAAATGAAATACTGAAATAAAAAATATAAAATCTAATTCATAATATTAATAAATAGTAATAATGTAGTATATAAATAATGCTGAATTAACACTGATTCCTAGTAAAATGATTAATAGAAATATAAGTTTTTAGCTTTTTTTAATCTGTAGTTATAATTATTTTATATATATATAAAAGCACTAAGTCTATAACATGACCAAATGTGTGTTTAATTGTTTGCTTTGTGAGACTCTGTGCTCTTTAGCTGTGCTTCATAGAAGCTGACTGTGTGTGTGTGTGTGTGTGTCTGTCTGTCTGTCTGTGTGGTGTGTCTGTGGTCATTCGCTCGGGTTCAGAGCTGCATCCAAGTCATACTGCTGGTAATAAGCTTGTATTCCAGCAGTCTTATGAAGAGATGGCAGCATGAACCCGTGCGTAGATACAGTACATGACACTGAATGACTGTGTATGTGTTTGTCTCTGCTACTGGAGCTTCATTTCTTTGATAAAGATCCGCAGCGCGTCTGATTCCTCTCACTGCTGCCCTCCGTCCATCTCTTTCTATTCATTCCTTTTATTTCTTTTATCAGCAGAGAAATGAAACTTCAGAGTTTGTGTCCCTCACTGCTCCAAACCTTAAAGGGCTCAGATGATGGAAAACAAGACTTTTTTTGTACCTTTTCTGAAACAGAGCTCAAGACATACTCAAATACTCACTTATTCAACTCAGAACTTCCCCACGGTCCACCAAGATCATGTGTTAAAACTAAAGGCTTGTTCACACCGGGACGAATATCACGCGCGATTATCGCCGACGTTTAACGCCTCGTGACTAAACAAAGGGCGCCAATGTGAGTGTGCACACCGACGCACAAAACGCGAGGCGTAAAAGCGTCATTTGTTAAAAAACGCCTCAGGTTCGTTTTTTTGTTTTTTTTTAATGAGATCGGCGCTTTTGTTCACGTACCTGGAGCTGCTGAAGTTACAGTAAAACACGACTTGGTGGCGCTCAAGCACAAAACGGTCTTGCCGAGCACACATTGATACCTAACAACGAAGAGGAAGTAAGTAGACCAAGAAGATGCATCGAGGCAAGATGAATGTAGAGCTGCTGGTCTCATTGGTGTCTGAACACAAAGGGCTTTATGACAAACGCGACAGCGACTACAAAAATCTCGATAAGAGAGAGTTGATATGGAGAGAATTGCAGAACAAATAGGATTCAATGTGTACCGGGGTATTTCTGTTTTTCATTAAGCGCCATCTAATGTCAGGGAGTGAATTTGCACGTTCACTCGGCTCATCGCCAGCGAAAATCACTTGGGTATGAACACAAAGACACTTTGAAAAATGTCGGCGATAAGCGCACGCGATAATCGTCCCGGTGTGTACGAGGCTTAAACTGCAAAAATGGCTCATTCAGAAATCACAATCTTTTAATAAGCAACACATTTTTGAAATCATTGTTTTTTTTATATAAAAAAAACCTCTTTAACCACACATTGTCTGAGTGAGTGATAGTTCACCTATAGTCTCACATTCTTGAGACTTTTTGACGGATTTATCATTGTCTATGTATTATTGTATCTGGTGTTTTTATCTCATCACATTTGATGTAGACTACAAACTCGGACAGATTTAGAAACAGCAACCAATTGCAAGAGGTCATTTACATATAAAATTCTGGTCGTGAGACTTTATTTAAGGACCAATTCTCACTATTAACTAACTATTGAATATGACTTTTGCCACAATAAACTCCGTTTTTGCTGCTTATTATTAATAAGCAGCAAAAACGGAGTTTATTGAGGCAAAAGTCGTATTTAGGTATGAGGTAGGATTAAGGGACCTAAAATATGGTCATGCAGAAAAATGCATTAATATGTACTTTATAAGTCCTAATAAACAGCCAATATGCATGCTAATCAGCAACTAAAGTGTTACCAAAAGTCTTAAAGGTAGGTACAGTAGCAAATTCAAAGGCCATGAGAGAAGAAACCAAGAAGCTGTTTTAATTCAATAAACCTTGATGAATCATGCTTTGAATAATTTTTTTTTAGTGTAAACATCTCCTCTGGCTGCTCTCTCTCAGTTCAAGAGTTTGAATAGGAGTCCATTTCATACTCATCTTTCCCTAATACACTCCATCTCTCTACATCTCTTTGTCTTTGTTTGATTCTCTCTCGTCATCACTGAGACCTGAACGATCTGATTCAGACTCCACCAGCAGCAAAGCAAATAAGAAACGTGGCAGCATTTATATGGTCAGTCAGACTGAAGGAGACAGTTGCTGAATTTACACAATTCAAACCCTAGCAACCACTTGGAATACCTTAGCAACCACATATCGCCAGCTTAAGCAGTTACCCAGTATGTGCTTGCAACTGTTGTCTACCAATTTATCTAACTTTTACCTTCAAACTTCAAGCTTGTAAATAATTTTCAACATTCAGTAAAGGTTTTGTCAATTTACCGATCAAAGTTTTAGTGTTGAACTTACATTTGCCATTTTGTTTTTTAAATTAGTTTATTTTAAATTAATAACCCAGTCAGAATTAATTTAAATGTATAATAAATGATCTGAATAAAATAAAATACAATAAATTAAAATATTTACAATTAAATTTAACTTTTTAAAAGTTATTTAAGAAATTATTAATTTTGACTAGTGCGGTCAAGCGATTAATCGCACCCAAAATAAAGGTTTTTGTTTACATAATATATGTGTGTTTACTGTGTATATTTATTATGCATATATAAATACAAACACATGCATGTATACATTTAAGAAAAATATGTTTATATTATTATATATATTATACATAAACTATAAGAATATGAATATATAAATGTATATACATATAAATATTTTCAAAATATATACTGCATGTGTGTGTATTTATATATACATAATAAACACAGTGCACACACATATATTATGTAAACAAAAACTTTTATTTTTGGATGCGATTAATCAGCACTAATTTTGACAGATTGATTCTTATTCTTCTCCGAACATCCTAACTTTGAAGGTGCTCAAAAGATTATTACAATGATACGGCTTTGTTCACACATACTGTAAAATAAAAACAAAACTTTCCCCAATGTCTTAAAGACATAGTTCACCCAAAAACTAAAATTCTGTCATCACTTACTCACCCTCAAGTTCTCTGTTGAGCACAAAAGATGATTTTTTTAAGAATGTTTGTAACAATTGTTGGTAGGAATTGGCTTCCATAATATTGAAGAAATACCATGGAAGTCAATGGCTACAGTCAACTGTTTGGTTACCAATATTCTTCAAAATATCTTGCTTTGTGTAAATGATGACAAAAATTTAATGTTTTGGGTGAACTATCCCTTTAAGCTAATTCACCAGAATTTCACCAATGTATTCAGTTCAAGAATGGCCTCTAAATGGAAAAAAACCCTAAATTTCCAGTAAAGAGTTTAGAGACTCACATGCTTCCGGTGGCCGAGCTGCTGTCGGTGGGCAGAGAGCCATTGGAGCGCTCCATCTGTGCCAACCTGAACGGACAGAGAACCAGATCAATTTAACAATATCACACTGTTTATTAGCATTAAAAGAATGCAGCATATGGATTTGTGGACCTCTGAGGCTCTACTATGACCGAGCATGTTTATTCATGTGTTGGGTGATGAATGAGAATATAAAACTATAAAAATGTCAATTCAAAGTATGAGTTCTGGTCTGGCCATGCGGGTTGGACACCACCAATCGAAGCTCAATACTGAATAACTCTGCATCGTAGATAGTGCTAGTGTAAGGAGCTTTACTTTCACACACACACTCAGGACTGAAGACTCGTCCCAATGGATTACCATCTCATAGAGTTCCTATAATGGGATTGAGGCTTCAGTCGTAGTCTATATTCACAATCCTTTAATAACCGCCTGTGTGTGTGTGATAGTGACATTGAGAGAAACTAGCTGACGATGAAAATCCATTTTCGAGTATTTACGGGTAGAAGGTCAGCACTGGAGGCAGTTGGTGCATTTGTGCATGCATAGTATGTTTTTTTTTTCTTTGAGCAAGTGTAAATCGAATTGATACACGCCTAATATACAGTATGTGGCAGCAGATTGAATTGGCTTTGGCAGAGAGTCAGAGGTCTAAGAGAGCATGTGTGCGTTTATACTGCTCATGTGTCACCACTCTCATTTGTGTGGTGTTGCGGTGAGGCATTATGACAACATGAGGGCAGCTGATCTTATTATACGCTTACAGCACTGAATACTGTAAATACTAACTCTAATGAAGACAGAGAATGTAAAATTATTCAGAAATTACAGAACTTAATACTTTAGTCATTCTCAAGCACACATTTTTACTTTAATTTTAAAAATGTAGTATTAATTGCTAATAATTACTACAAAAAATGTGTGCAAAATTTGTACTAATATTAGGTATTAATTGTGCTAGGGCAGAATAAGGCCATTTGCAGATATATCATTATTAATGACAATATTTAATTACTTCATCAATTCACTGTATATTTTTGAAAACTGACAAAAAAAAAAAAGATTGACTGATGCGTATTGTAGACTTGTGTACAAGTCTCAAGTCAATACAGTGCTGTTATTTCACTGTCCAGCGGTCATGATTTAATTGTGCAATTTCTGTATTGCATTAGTTTTTAATATTTCTCATGGACATTTAATAATTTTTGACTTTTCAGTGTGTAAAAGAAAACCTGCTTAATAATTATGCACACCTGAGTGTGAGGCATTTTTCACTTCCAGCCCTGGTTAACAATTATTTATCACTTACAAAAGATTAAATACAAAATGAATAGTAGTTATTAAGATTGATGTGGTTTGGAATTGGTAAAATCACACAAACATGCACACGCGCACACACACTTATATATTTTTTACTGAATATTATGTGATGTCTTTGAATTACCTTTATACATTTTTCATTCTTTATAAGGTGACATATTTACACATTACATGCACTTACTATAGTAATAACAGTAAATGATGCATAATTACAAGCAACTAACCCTAAACCAAACCTTAATTCTATCGTAAGTACACGTAGTTGAATAATATTACATAGTACTTAGTGTACAGTCTAAAAAGGTTCTTTATTGGCATTGATGGTTCCATGACGAACCTTTAACATCCATGGAATCATTCCATTCCACAAAACGTTCTTTATTGTGGGGGGGGGGAAAAACCATCACACTAAGAAAAACAGTTCTCTTAAGAACTGTTCACTAAAGGAAACCTTATTTTTAGGAGTGTAATTACATTGTAGCAACATCTCCTTAAAATAAAGTGTAACCACAAATTGTAACCATTTTTTCCCTAGCAGTACAGATGCATGCAATTAATTTGATAATTCCTTTGACATTTACGTGATTGACAGCCCTAGTTTTTACTAGTCACGCATCTGTAACTATGCCATTTCTTAAATGACATCAGTGTGGTTTGTGTACTGTAATGTCGGCAGTGAGATATACCTGCTGGCGTATTGCCCTATCCGTGAGTGTGTGTCGTCATGAGAGAGTTGTGGTGATGGAGAAAGCCTGAAAACATAAACACACATAAACAAAAGCACACTCCAACATAATCAACGACAAACAGAACTCTAAACATGAAATGTGTCTGATGATCTACAGTGAAGGCCAAGTGTTATTGGGACTGAGGAAGACGAGGAGGAGGAGGAGGACTGAGGGTTGACTGTTGATACTCACTCGTACTGCTCCGGACACATGCTGATGAGAGTGACCGGACTGCAAGAGGGAGGAAGAAAAACAAAACCAGGGGAAAGGAGGGGGAGTGGGGGGAGGGGAGGGAGGAACAGATTTGTTTAGGGTCAGAGGTCACACAATGTGGAGGTCAGATCCACAAACAAGGATGTGGAGGTGTTCTGGCTGACATACTCCTCCAGTACTGTAGGGGGCAGTGCAGAATACTGAGAAATACTGGATTTATTGAATGACTGACAAATGATTACCAAAGTGTAATATAATGAAATTTTGCCATTATTTGCTAATGGTCATATCATACTAAATCTGAATGACTATTTCTCCTGTGGAACAAAAATAGATATTTCAAAGAATGCTCAAGCTGCTCTTCTCTACATACTGAGGGTTCATATGTTGTTTACACGACAACAATGTATTAAAAATGAAAAAGTTTTTCCTTTGTGTTTTTTTTTTTTGCGTATAGACAACGATATTGTCAAAAAAATTCCCATTCACATGCATCCGTGAAAATGACTTAAAACGCAGTATTATGCATGCCAGGCCAGAAGTTGGCGATGTCACATTATAAAGAAAAACGATGCTAACCTGTAATACGCATGCACATTTTCACAAATTTGAGCTTTTGCAGTTTACATGGAGACTAGTGTTGCTTTCGTCAACGAAAATTATGACTAAATATCGTCTTCAACGAACCTTTATCACGTACAGGGACAAGTTTAATCTGCTGGAGAACCCTAGTAAACTTCAGTGTCTCTTGGAGATGATGAAAAGTGTCATCGTTTCTTTTAAAGAAAACCATACAGCAGATGAGACGATAATTGCAAGCTGGGATATTCAAGGCTAGATCGGTTCATGTTTGTCTTTTTTGCGAAAGCAGGGGCATTCCCATGTCACACTGCAGGACTGAGGCATTTTAGTCTTTCTCACAACTGATGTAGCGTCAGAGGGTGATGTGGAGATGAGAGGTCTAGGATGAGACCCTCAGAGAATGACTTACAATGACTTTCGTTTTATGTAGGAAGGTCAGCAAAGGCAAGCAAAGAGTTTTTCTTTTTAATAATGTTTAAAAGTTGTTCGAAAGAGCAAAAGTCAAGATGAAACGGCTTTCAGAGCTCATTTAACTTCTGTAATGTGACGCTCTGAGAGCGAAACTTTTATCCATCAGGAAGTGAGTGGATCACGAATGGCAAGATTTTAGTAAGGCTTTATTAACAGCAGCTTAAAAGATTATTTGGCTGTTGGTTAAAGTCAACATGAAATGAAAATGCATGTTATTCTAAATGCATGTTATTTACATTTACATTTACATTTAGTCATTTAGCAG